CTGAGACTAGGCAAAAATCATGGAGACAGGACATTCAATTAGGGGATGGGAGGGAGAATGGTGAATTTTGCTTAACGGTGACAGAGTTTCTGTTTGGGGCGATGGAAAAGTTTTGAAAACGTGATGACTGCACAAGAATGTGAATGTAATTAATCCTATCGAACTGTACACTTAAAAATGATAAAATGGCAAATTTTGTTACATATAGTTTGCAATACACAAAAACAATCATAAAATTTTTCCATGTTAACCGAACTGATAGAAAAATGTTAACATTATACTGATGTCAAATATGATCGATTAAAAAGAAAAACCAACCCCAAACCCTAATTTCAGTGAAAACGTGTTTTGAGGAAATAGAAGTTACATTCTCCTAATTTATACAGATCGGTCTCCAAGCAGAAGGAACTCCGACCAAGCTGGATGCCGGCGCAGGGCCCTGTGGAACCCGTGAAGGATCGGAGGAGATGGCACAGCCCTGAGGCAGGTTAGGGACCGAACGCTATCGCTATCGCACAATGCCGGTTGGTGGCCTCGGCCCCTCTTGTCCCTACGCCGGAACAGGAACTGTGGTGGACTGATGCTCCTACCTTGTTGATGATGCCTCCGTTTTCAACGACTCCTTCAGCACCAACTATGACAAGATCCACTTTCTCCATGATATAGCTAAGGAAATTAAAAAATAATTATGCTCTTTCCTTGGCTCTTGTTAGTAGCATCGCCATCTGCAAAGACCAAGATTCCAATTTCACTGCGTTAAGCTCCTCTCGTAACTTTTTTCAAAAGAGCACTCAACACATGAGACAACCCTGGAACTGCTACCAGTTCTGCTACCAGGGGCGTTAAAACCTGCTTTGATCGCGACCCGCCGTAAGGTGTACACCTGACACTGCCACCTGGTACGTGCGCACATGCGCGTGACGAGCAAGAACTTCGCGGCCTGGTATGTATCACCACGTGAGGCACACTCTATAAACCTGATGTGACCTAAGTTAGAAAAAAAGTGTCACGTAACTCAATCTTTCGGGTAGGGGGAAGGCCAGTTTACCTTTTAATATGAGCAACTAGCAGAATTCTTCAAAATGCTTACTCTTAAACGTATTCTTAACTTCTTAATCATCTACCTTATGTGTTTCTTTCCAAGAGATGATGATTCTCGTCTTTTCCCTCGTGAGGTGCACTGACAACCCGTGGGACATGTGACCTTGGTTTAAGTGGCATGGGTGAGACGAAGAATCCCAGAGAGCCACTGGGAACACCTGTGTCTTCAGATGAAGGCGGAGCACTCATCAGGTACGCTGACCTTAAGCCGACCTTAGCACCGTGATACTACGTAAATGCCTCGCATTCTCCGCAGCATCTTACAGCCTGCCTGCTGGCACACGATCCAGACCTAACGAGCTTGCTGGTTTACTGCAGCTATCAATTAAGACGTGGGACGCTACCCAGTTCAGGTTTATGAATGGGACTCATTCTTCAGTCTGGAAACCCTGCTCCCAACCAACCCTGGGAGTGGCTGAGGAAGAGTATTGGCGTTTGAGGAAGCCAGGCACTTACCCAACAGCAGCATCCAGGACCACTGTGACAGGGACGTTGAGGTGGCAGAGGGCTTTGGCCATTTTCTTACTGAAAATGACATTTGAGAACATTAGGGAAAATTGGAGAAAGTGCCCTAGTGGTGTATAATGAGTCACTTAACTGACAGTGATAAATCATGTTAGCCTGAAACTCAGTTAATGGATTAAGGACCGATCCCAAACTCTGGATGAAGGAAACAAGAATTTGGGTTTTTTTTAGGAGGAAGTATGTGTTTCAGGAAAACTATATACTCTTGGGGATTCTGGGTAAGATGCAAATTCAGAAGAAAAAATTTTTATTTCATTATCTGCTGGATAGTTCCCTGGTAAAAAAAATCTTTGAATTGACACAATCTCTTGCTGTCCCCCTGATTTAACAACTAAATAAACCCCCTAGGCCCTATACTGTGGCCCTCCGCAAATGCACAATGGTTTTTCATCCAGGGGTGGGGACAGACACAGTCACAGGCAATACTGACTGACTGGTCACGGGACATGTTCTGGCTCCTCTTACAGTGGATCCTAATCCTCAGTTTGATCTTTAAAAATGACTGCTGGGCACATAATCAAAGAGAGAGATACTTGCCCTGATAAGTCAGGCTGTGACTCTGTGATGTACACACTGAAACGCTTCTTGGCCACCACAGCTGCTTCCAAGACCCTGAGGACCACTCTGGAGTAGGCGTGAGTTAATATTCTCTGTGAACCGAGACAGCGCCGTCAAAGGGGCGAGCTTCTCACGGTCACCCATACCCCATACCCTGGGCCCCGCTGATGCATGTGTCTGGGACCCTAGAGCTTTTCTTCATGCTTTCTCACAGATCAGCTATAATTAGGAGAAAAGACCGTTGATGGTACTCTGAGTTTAAGACCATATACCAGTCAGAAAGGATTTCTGCCGGAGGGATTTATTACGGGGCCCCTCTCCCGACAGCAGGTACAGAAGTAGTACCCACGTGGTGGACAAGAGCCGCCGTTAGGTTGGGTTTTCTATTTCTAAGACATGGGTTGCACACCTGGGCCTACAGGTACCAGGCAGGGAGCATAATAAATGCAGTGGGCTGGGCAGGGCCAGCAGCGAAGTGGAAAGGCTGAGTTCCAGCTGTTGTCACATAGTCTCACTGTTGCCAGATCGTCTGATTTTTCTAGAGGAGCCAAAAATCCAGTGTTTCAATATTGGTTAACTGACTTTTAAGAATCTATAAACAGTGTTTGCGTTAAGTGCAAGCCACTCGTGGGCTGGGGACAGTTTGCAGACACTTACACGTAACCTCACCTCTGTTGTGCAGAATGGAGCACAGAGGACCCCACAACTCAAGATGGGTGGACACAAGTCCCTATCTCCTTTCTGGGCCTCATCTGAGAGCTTCTAGAAATGCAGATTCTCAGGACCCACCCCAGACCTACTGAATCAGAACCTGCATTTAACAAGATCCCCAGGTGGTTCATCTGTGTGTTCGAATTTAAGCAGCTCTGCTCGCAGTTTAGTTTAAATCAGCACCAATGCAGGTGGGTGTCACACATTAAATGACACTAGAGCCAGTGAAACCCACGGAATACCGATGGCACGGAAGGAGGACGCCTCTGTGACAGCGGCCATAATCTTGCTTCCACTCGGCTAAAAATACCTTTGTCTGCAACCGGCTTTTGAACAAGTTCCACTCACACCTATTATTATGTCATTTATTTAATAACATACTTCAAAGGTTGGGAAGAGGGTAATAAAACAGGACAAGATTTCAGAGTCGAAATGCAAGTAAATCATTTTCTGGTCAGTGCAGGCTTAGACGGCAGAAAGGGACGCTGGTGGGAGAGACGTCAGAGCGTTTTATTGCCCCTGCGCTGGGACACTGACTTGACTTGCAGCTCCTGTCTTTCCTGACTTACAAACACCTGGCAGCTCTGCACCTCTGTAACAGTATTTGAAAGGCAGTGAAAAAAAAAATCCGAGTCCAAGGTTAACCTTCATCAGGAAGTCAGACAGTATTAACCAGTGACAAGAGCTGTTCTGTCTTGATTTAATTCAGATTAATTTAGTACATATCCAATAATGAAAATACTCTTTTAGTGAAAGATCTTAATAAATCAAGACTCATTCGTGCCATCCTAGTGTTTTTTTCTGCCCGTTTGAAATGACAACCATCTGTAATAATAACATGAATGTTTATACAGTGCTTGCTGTGTGCCAGGCGCAATGCAGAGTCCACGCGCACCAGCTCACTAATCCTCACAGCAAGTCAATGAGGTATGTGCTGTTGTCACCCTGAGTAACCTGCAGCGCAGAGAGGTTAAGGGACTTGTCCAAGGTTACACAGCAAGCTAAGTAGCAAAGGTGGGATTTTACCCCAGGAGTCCAACTCCAAAGTCCTCACTCCCAGTCACCACGCATGAGGTCTACTCACCGCCCCGTCTTTGATGAAAGTATGGCACAGATCTGCAATTTTATTTCTCGACAGTGATATTCTCCGGAGGAAAAGCTCTCCCCGCTCGATCATGATCTTCTTACATTTGGAGTAATCCTAGGAGGAAAGAGCAGAATGAGGGGAAGGGGACGATTCCGGTAGAGAGAACACTTGCAATGAAAACAGACCCAGGAGAAGGACGTGAGGGTGGGGGCGCTTACGGAGTACTCAAGGGAGGCGAGGCTGATGAAGCGCAGGAAGAGCTCCCCGCCCGAGGACACGGCCACCGAGGAGTCCACGCCACAGAGGGTTTCTATGGCGCTGGTGAGATTCGCTCTCAGGCCCTGGATTGTCTCCCCTGCATTGATCACACGAGGAATGTGATATTCATTTTAGTATCACTCCCTGGGTGGGTCTGCCATTCTTTCATTCATTCATTCATTCATTCATTCAACCAAGATTTACTGGGTGCATATTGTATGCCAGCCACTATTCTAGATGCCAGATACATCGGTGATCACGACAGGCAGGGTCCCTGCTCTGATTGGAACGCCCTTTCTAGTGAAAGAGGCAGACAATAAATGTGCCAAGAAATAAGCAAGTTAATTATAGATTGTAATAAGGACAAAAAGAGCAGGATGAGGAGGAAGGTGAAGCTACTTTAGAGTTAACAGGGGTGGCTTTGTGAAGTACGGGCTGTTTAAACTGAAACCTAAGTAAGAAAGGATCAACCGCAGAAAGATCCAGTAGGAAAGGTTTCAGGAGCAGACTCTAACAATGCAAAGGCCCTGAGACAGGAGCAGGCTTGGTATGAGCAACGAAGAGAGGCTGGCAGGGCTGAAGCACCGCTCAGCCCGGGACAGCAGGGAAGGAAACTAAGTAGCACTGGCAGATGAGGTCTGCGAAGCGCTTCGGTGAGGCTTAGTTGTTTGGATGTTATTGAAAGTACAGTGGGGAGACGGTGGAGGTTGTCCTAGATACACACGTCTCTAGTCCAGCCCTTCGTTTAAAAAAAAAAGCTTTATTATTTTGCTTATACGAGATGTCATGCTATACTCAGATGCTTACATTTGGAATGCCTGAATGATGATAATACCAGAATTTATTCTGGAATGTCCTCTGTAGCATCTGCACATAATCTGGCACAAGACAGAAGCTCAGTAACAGCTGTAAAGCTGAACTATTGCTATAATTTAAGCTTCATGGTCAACCTGATATAAAATGGCCACTCAGTTCAACAAATATTTCTTTTATGAAAGGGAATCCATTTAATGGTAACCTTAGGACTCTCTCCAGGTTAAAAGAAAGACTGAAATTAAGAAGCTGGCCTTAGGGAGACATTACTTTACACAGACACGCATATACCTGTCATATCCACACTTCTGATAGTTACTAGAAGACTTTCCCAGGGCGCAGTGTGTTCGAGGATGGCCCTCTTTACCTTTGTCTCGCTTCAAGAACTCCAGTAAAGTCCGTATGGCAGCCACTGCTGAGGCCGTGTCAGGATCTTCTTTCATCTGAGACTTAAAGTATTCGATTAACTCTGGGGAGAGAGGAAAAAGTGATTCATCAAATTTATTTATCAGGATGTAAGGCCAGAGAGCTTGTTAATAATTGTTGATTTTAAGAAGCAACATAATTTGAAAACTGCCTTTTCACGGTGTTTGGCTTTCAGGGGAATGATAAATGTTGATAAGAATAGAGATGACAGCTACTAAATGATACTGAAAGGTTATTCTTCCTTATCCTTGACCCTAAGTTCTGAGAGAATCCCAGAGTTAACCACCTCATCAATTTCTCCTGTACCCTTGCAGACGGTCTATGCTAAGTCAAGGCTATTAACATACAGACTTATTTACTTATGGAGAGGTCCACCGCCCTTTATTTAACACGAAAGTCTGCCCTTGTATTTTACTTAATAAAACACTCGATAGATGAGCACGTCAAACACGCCTTATTTTCTGATTCCAGTACCAGATCCAACAGGACAGGGAGTCTTACTCTTACTCCAAGGAAGACTGCGAAGACCTGCATACTTCGTCCAAAGTCTCACTTCTTTGGACAAGGGCGCTGGAAAGAAGCGCCTGGGGATACTCTCAGGGCCCGTTCCCTGGATACACGAGCGAAAGGGATTCACTGTAACTAGAGGAGCCACATCCAACCGAGCAGCCAGAGCTTGGAAAGTGACCTCTCCCTGCGCGGCTCCGCTTTAGTCCCAGCAGGCCCATTCCGCCCCGACTTACCCTTGTTGTCCATGGTGCCCTCCGGACCGCGGAGCCCGAGGGGCCCGGAGACGCCCGCGCTGCCTGGAGAAGTCCCGCGATCGCGCGGGCTACGAGCTACAGAGACTGACAGCGTGCGGCGCGGCGCCGCACTCCACTTCCGGCGCGCTGGGGGCGGGGCCGTGGGTACGGCGCGGGGTCTGGGTCAAACCTCCTCGCGCGTCATTCGGTGGCGCCGGAAGTCGGACTGCGCCGCGTCCGGGATGCTCGCCTGACTGCTGCTGGCTCTGCGCTGAGGGACCCCCGCCACCATGGTCTCCGACGGTGAGGATCGCGCGTGTCGGGCCCCGGGCCCCGGGGCTGGTCCGACCAGGCCGGGAGAAACGGAGGATGTGTTTTAGGCTGGGTGGAACCTGTCTGGTCTTCAGAGGAGTAGCGAATGTATTTATTCATTTATTCAGTAAATATTTTTGAATCACCTCCCGTGTGCGGGTCGTTATCTGTTGTATGCGCTGGGAAACACAGCGGAGAACATGACAGGCCCTCGTGGAGGTTCTTGTGGGTGGGACAGACAATAGGCAAGTAAATAAAAATTTCGAAGGGGGACAAGAGCTATGAAAACGACATGATGGGCTGATGTGGTAGTTTGTGATTAAATAAGAGTTGGTCGCGGAGATGCTTCTTTAGATTGTTGTCCAAGGAAGACCGGCGATATCGAAACTGAGATGAGCGACTGTGTAAAGGCCCTGTGGCAAACTGAGCCACTACTTAAAAATGAGAAGGAGGAAAGGGGGAACCTGGAGGTTCCTGGAGGAAAGGGGCGAGACTTTTATTCATACATTATACTACCAGTTATAGAGCCTGACGTCTTAAAGGACGAAAAAAGAGGCCAAGTGGGTGGAGCACGATGAGATAGGGAGGTGAGATCAGAGAGCTAGCTAGCCAGGTGCAGGGCCCTTGTGGGCCATGATAAAGAGCTTGAGCTTTCTTTTTAAGTGCAATACGAAGCCATTTTAGGGTTTTAAGCAAGGAAGCGTTATGATCTGACTTACAGTTTTAAAGGTCATTTTGGCTGTTGTGTGGAAAATGGACTGTAGGGAGCAAGAATAGAAACAGGTCCTTTCAGATGCCGTAACAATTGTCCACACTTTCTTTATTTGTTTTCATCCATACTGCAACCCTGTGAGGGAGGCAGACCTGGCACAGCCCCCTGTCTACAAATGAGGAGGCAGAGACCCAAAGAAGGGATTCACAAGGACCTTGCATGTATACGAATAGACACTTTTCATGTCTTTTTATCAGGCTGCTTGATAGTAGCAAGGAATGGAAGGCCCAAGAATTGTGGGTAGGGGTGTGAGGGCCTATGGGAGACACAGTTTTTAAGTGCTTCCTTGCTAGACACTTTGTTGTGTGATTAACATGTGTTATTTCATCCCAGAATTAGCAGAAATTCTCATTCTTTAAGGAGTCCATGGCCTAGCGGGCCGCATTGGGTAGAGATCAGAAACACAGCTAACTGTCAAATGAGGTAGTGAGCACTGTCCTTTGAAGAAAGTCAGTACTGTGGGTGGTCAGGACGAGGCGTGGGGCTTTGAGAAGTCACAGCCTTTACAGTCAGGTGGATCTATCTTCAGAGCAGGACATGCGACTTAGAGCAGATTGCTTTCATTTGCAAAATACCATATTTCATCTAATCTGAAACTATTGATTACGAAATGTGCTTTCATTTAACATACAACTAAGAAAAAACTGCTGCCAATCTTAGTCGTAAGACACCCTCTTGAATTTAGCACCTGTTAAATGTAAAAAAAGGGGGTATATCTTGTAACTGATGAAAGGTGACAATAATGTGTCCCTCTCTGGGTATTTGGCAGCATGGAATGGGATCATGGGGTTCTTTACTTCAGGCCTGATGCAGAGGGGGCTGATGTTCCTGCTCTCTCCTGAGACGGGGAGCTAGGACCTGTCGGAAGACCCGGGGAGGGCTTTTGAGAGAAAGAGGTGGCACCGGTTTGGGGCCTTGAAGAGTAAATAGTATTCGGGTATGTAAACCAGTCGAAGATGGGGTGGGGATTGTCCTGATACAGGAGACAGGAGACACATCACTGCCTTTTGCTCTTAAATGAGCATCCTGAGTTTTTCATGACAGCACGTGTTTATGGGTTTGTATATCTGTTACCTCAGTTAGAATGTAGGCTCTTTGAGAGCTTGGATGCGGGATCCCCTACGCCTGACGCTGGTACTTGGTGAAAATGTTGTGTGAACGAATGTGTTAGCCCATTTAGTTGTATTTGTGTTTGGAGAGTAGCCTAATTCTTTCCATAGTAAAGTATCCTTTACATAGGAATTGTTTTTCTCTTTGTTTTTCACCTTTTTGAAATGGTTCCTAATCACAACACCTTGCTGCTCGGTGATACGATGGACAGCGGTTCCTACGTTCCCTTTAACCCCCCCTCGCCCACAATTCTGCTGCTCGTGGTTCTTAACTACTCGTTAATCAGCGTCTTTTGTCGTTGACCAGGCATTTAAACTGCCGATATCCTTGGGTTCATTTAATAGATATTTATTGCGCATCCTCTGTGGCTAGGTGGTGTGCCAGGAGCAGAGGATAAGCAGTAGCAAAACAGACAAAAATCACGGAGCTTACATCCTAGTGATGAAAGGTGCAGTGGGACAGAAAGCAGGCAAGCTCTTGCTGAGGACCCACAGAGCTTTAAACCTTTCAAAGAACTTGGCCTTCTGTTAATCTCATGACTGTAGCATCATCACCATGTAAAGGCTTATAGTGCCTGTCTGGATTTAATTTACAGATGGAGAGTGTTAGCTTTGATTCACTTTCATGAGGCTAATGTTTTTTATTTTCGTTAATATTTTCAGAAGATGAGTTGAATCTTCTAGTCATCATTGTTGATACCAACCCAATTTGGTGGGGAAAGCAAGCATTGAAAGAATCTCAGGTAAGATCGCTCAATGAGGCCTTTGGATAATTCTGGTTAAACTGAGTATATGTTTATGTTACTTTTTTAAAAAACAGCTTCAGTAAGATATAGTTTACATACCATAAAATTTACCCATCATAACGTACAATTCAATGATTTTTTAGTGAAAACCACAATAAAGTTGTGTAACCACCACGATTCTGTTTTAGAGCTTTTGTATCACCCCAGAAAGTTCCTGCATGCCTGTTTATAGTCACTGCTTCCACCCCCCTGCCTAGTTGCAGTAACCACTGATCTGCTTTCTATCTCTGTATCGCCATTTCTGGATATTTCATATATTGATTTTGTGCAATATGGTTTTTTTTTTTAAAAAAACCTCTTTTGAAATATTTTATTTAGAAATAATTATAAACTCACAGGAAATTATAAAAAATGGTACAGAGGTCCCGTGTGCCCTCGCCCTGGCTTCCCCCAGTGATAACATCTCCTATGACTTGTGTGCAGTCGTGAAACCAGGAAGTTGACATCAGTACACTCTCGAGACCTTACTCAGGTCAGCAGCCGTCTTACGTCGCTAGTTTGTGCACGTGTAGTCCGCGTGGTCTCGCCGTCACCGCAGTCGGATACAGAACTGTTCCGTCACACACAGGCGTTCCGGCTTTGTGTTCCCTTTATAGCTGCGACACTTTTATAGTCCCTGGTCCCCGGTTCACTTACGTCTTCTGTGAAAAGTTTTACACTTAAGTCTATAATCGATTTTGAGTTCATTTTTAATGAGCTGTAAGGTTTAGGATGAGGCTCGGTTTTTTTTTTTTTTGCCAACGGGTATCCAGTGGCTGCCGCCCCGGTTTTGAAGATTAGCCTTTCTCCACGGAATTGCTTATGCAGCTCTGCCAAAAATCAGTTGGGCACACGTGTGGCTTTATTTCTGGGCCCTCTGTCTGTACCATTTGTCTGTGTGTCTTTCCCTCCACCGGCACCACACGGTTTTGGTTACTGTAGCTATATAATACTTGAACTTCGGTAGGCTGATTCTTCCCACTTTATTCTTCTTTTTCAAAATTGTTTCAAACCATTTCAGTTCTATAACCTTTCCATATAAATTATAGAATGTACTTATCTGCCTACAAAAAGATGTTGCTGGGATTTTGATAGGAATTGTGGTAAACCTGTGTATCCATTTGAGGAGAATCAACAGCTGTGCTGTCTTCCATCCACAAATACAGTATATCTCTCCATTTATTTAGATCTTTGATTACTTTCATCAGTGTTTTATAGTTTTTACTAGACAAGATCTATACCTAAATATTCTCTTTTTTAGCAATTGTAAATGGGTATTGTGTTTTTGGTATGGTTTCCACGTGTTTGATATTAGTCTGTAGAAATACGATTGGTTTTTGTGCATCGGTCCTGTATCCTGAATGTATCCTGAGACTTTGCTGAACTCACTTATTAGTTCTAACAGTGTTTTTGTAGCTTCCTTGGGATTTTCAACATGGACAAGTTATATCATCTGCAAGCAGGCACAGTTTTATTTTTTTCTTTCCAGTGCATATACCTTTTATTTTCTTGTCTTGCTCTATTGTACTGATTAGGACTTCCATTACTGTGTTGAGTAAGAGTGGTGAGAGCAGGCATCCTTGTTCCCGATCTTGGGGAAGAGCATTCTGTCCTCATCGTTAAGGGTGACGTTAGGTATAGTTTTTTTATAGTTTTTTTTTATTAAGTTGAGGAATCCTCCTAGTCTGCTTAGAGAGTTCTATCATGAATGCATGTTAAATTTTGTTAAATGCTCTTTCTGCTCCAAATAGTGATTTTTCTTCTTTAGCCTATCAATATAGTGGATTACGATGATTTTCAAATCTCGAACTAGCCTGCCACTTCTAGAATAAACTCTGCTTGGATTCATTTTGCTAGTGGTTTTCCTTTTTGCACTGTCTTTGGCTGGTTTTGGCATAAGGGTGATACTGGCTTCATAAAATAAATTGGCAAGTGTTTTCTTCTGTCTTTCTGGAAGACATTATTTAGAGTTAGTGTCGGTTCGTCTTTAAAAGTTTATTTAGTACAGTTCTCCAATGAAATCATCTGGGCCTGGATGTTGCTTTTGGGGGAGGTTTTCAAAGTACAAATTAAATTTCTTTGATAGTTATTAAAGTATTTGATCTTTTTCATATCGAGCGAGTTTGGGTAATATGTGGTCTTTCGGTTTTGGCTTTTTTCATTTAGGCAGTATGTTCGAGGCTCATCCATGTCACAGCATGTATCTGTGGTTCCTTTTTGTTACTGACAGGACTTGATGGTATGGATATACCTCGTGTTTGATTTACTCATGGACATGTAGATTGTTTCCAGTTTTCGACTCTCACGCAGAATGCTGATAGTTCACAGACAAGTCTTTGTGTGGACATGAGTTTGCATTTCTCTCAAATAGTTAGGTAGATGAGTTGAATTTCTGAGTTACATGATAAGTTTAGACTTAACTTTTCAAGATGCCAAATTTTTCAAAAGTGAGTACACCATTTTCCATTCCCATCAGCAGTGGATGAGAGTTCCAGGTTCTTTACATCATCGCCAGCACTTGTCTGTTTTTTTTTATTATAGTCATTCTAGTGAGTAGGTAGTGGTATTTAATTGTGGTTTTAATTTGTTGAGTCTTTTTTTTCTCACATGCTTATTAGCCATGATGTATTTTCTTTGAGATACATATTCAGATTTTATGCCTAATTTTTAAATTGGGCTATTTGTTTTCCTATTATTGAGTTGTGAGAATTTTTATATTCGAGACACAAGCCCTTTATCAAATGCATGATTTACAAATATTTTCTCTTTGCCTACGACTTTGCGGCTTGTCTTTCATTTTATTAATTGTGTCTTTTTTTAAAAGAACGGCTTTATTGAGATATAATTAATGTACAATGAACTGCACACATTTTAAGTATTCAATTTGATGTTTTCACATATATATATATTCATGAAATTATCACCACAATCAAAATAATGAACAAATAGATCTATCATCCCCAAAAGTTTCTTCAGGTTCCTTTGTAATTTATTTCACCCATCTCTTTCTGCCTGTGCCCGCCCCTAGGCAACCACCGATCTGCTTTCTGTCACTAGATTAGCTTGCCCTTTCTAGATTTTTACGTAAATAGAATCAAACACTATGCAGTGGGGGGTTTTGGTCTTGTTCCTTTACTCAGCATAATTATTTTGAGACTTGTCCATGTTGTTACACGTATTAGTAGTTCATCATTTTTATTGCTGAATGGTATTCCATCGTATGGCGAGCACACCACTGCATCTTACCTTATTACTCTACAGAAAGTGTGTCTTATTTTGACCTCTCATCAATGTCAGCGGAATATGAGAATTCCTTTTTTTTTGGTACCAACACAAGATGCTCTCTTTCCTTATTTTATCTTTTGCCAAGATGATACCAAAAAAGTTACCTCAGTTTACTTTTAGTATATCTGATTGCCCGTTGTATTTCTCCCTTGGGGCATTGCCTATTTTTCTCTTCGGGCATCTAAAAGATTTATTTATTTATTTTTATTTTTTGTGACTTATGGACATTCTTTACATTGAAATGTTAACCCAATGCCTGTCATATGTTTAAATTACTTTTTTCTAATTTGTCATTTGTCATTCACTTTTGTTTATAGTCGCTTTTTTTGCCATATAGAAATTTTAATAGGTTTGTTTCGCTTTTTTAATAGAGCGAAATTTGTCAGTGTTTTATTTTCTGCCTGAGGTATTTTCTTTAAGAGAAACATGCCTTATTCCAGGTTTATAAAAATATCCATCTATGACCTGTAGTAATATTAGTAGTTTTGACAGTGTAACTTCCACGAAAGAAGGGCTATACCACATAACGTGCTTAGCATACTTAGCGAATGAATGAATTGAAAACTTACAGATTACATGTTGATCAGTATGTATTACGTGGTCCATGGGTAGCAATAGTTGGCTTGTAATTTTATCACGGAAGATGTGACATGTTTACTATTCATAAATGTTATGCAGAAAATATTTGTGGAATGTTGTACAGATATAGAAGCAGTCCCATAGAAATAAAATTATAGAACTATAGTTTTCAAATGTTTTGGCTTATGGCTTCAGAGGAGGGAGCCCCTGAGCAAATTTTTAGCAGTGAATAATTGTCTAAAATGAAATATTTAAATGAAATATTAAATGATTGAAATATTTAAATGAAATATTAAATGATTTCAAGACCTGATGTGGTTATTTGGATAGCTGATTTACCTTTCTAATATCTTCTGTTTTTCAACAGTTTACTTTATCCAAATGCATAGATGCAGTGATGGTGCTGGGAAATTCTCACTTATTCATGGATCATTCCAACAAACTTGCTGTGATAGCAAGTCATATTCAAGAAAGGTATGACCATTATGATTATTTTACCTATTCAGTGCTTCACATTTGTGATATTTCTATGCCATTTAGCATGTGCTAGTCCTACTCTATGTTACAAACAATTTCTGTACCAGTGAACAGTATTCAGCATCAAGAATTAGTACGTGTAAACCTTGACAGGTGTGCATATTGAAAACCTCATTAGCTGATATACAGTGGAGTTGCATTCATGTGCACACGTAACTTACACAGCTTCAACTGTATACTCCAGGCATAGAGTGGTCACATCGAGCGGCTGCCCCCATCACTGCTCTACTCACAGTCTACCCTAGGGGCCAGGTGGGATGGAAGGTGTGATGCTGCCTTCCCTTCGGCCACCTCTGCCTCCTGTGCACCTCTCAACGGTGTGAATAGTTAACTGCTCTCTGTGTAATTTTAGTATTTACAAATAAAAATTTTTCTTATAATACCATTTCCTAAACCCAAGCCGACTATTCCATCTGGTGTGCACCTGAAGACACAGTAACTTTTCCTAACGCTGGTGTAAAAACTGGCCGTGTTAGAGTCACTGCAAGGTGGCGAGTGGATGGATGTGCAGCGGATGCACAGATGGGCCACGCGTACAGCAAGGGTTTTCATGAATGATGTTGACCATGTTTACTGGTCCTGTTATACACAGGCCGTGGAATCTAATCCCCATGTAGGATACAGCTCCTTTGTCTCGATTAAATGTGCACCACAGTGAAAGTGACTCTTGTTTACCAACGTAGTTAGTGGATAGTTTCGAAGTTTTTCAGTTCTTAGAGCTACCTCCTCTAAATTGAGAGAGCCCATGGGCCACCCAGTAAGGTCGCTGCTCTCATCATCGCCATACACTTTTCTCAGAATTGAATAAAAAAGATGATGCCGAATTGATCAAGATATCAGTAAAAGCTATAACAGTTTTCATTTTCTTAGAAGCAGCACAGATGCGTTTTGCATAATTGCTATAAAAGTCTTAAAACACCAGGGGAATCTTTTCAGGGACTAGATTTCTATTTCCAAGTAGCTAAATATACCTCAAATAATAAACTAGTAGCAACTTAGAATTTGGAATTGATCTCTTTCCATCGTCGTCTGAGAAAGTGGAGTGAGAACTCCATGAAGCATTTCAAGAGGCTATAATCCAATACCCTCTCTTTTTTCTCTCATTTTCCAGAAAACAGTGGAATCATTAAAACATTATGTGGTAGTTGACTCATGTTTGCCTATTTTACACATTTCTTTTAAAAATGAAATTTATTAGAGAACTGAGTCTCGAATTGATGTGATTTTTGTTTTTCTCTGCTGAATTTTATTTTGATACTCCCACCCCCCACCCCTGCCCCTGCCGTTTCAGTCGATTCTTATATCCTGGGAAGAATGGCAGACTTGGGGACCTCTTCGGGGACCCCAGCAACCCTCCATCTGAATTTAATCCCTCGGGGAGTAAAGACGGAAAATATGAGTTGCTCACAGCAGCCAATGAAGTTATCGTTGAAGAGATTAAAGATCTAATGACCAATGGTAACAGCTTTTTCTTTTTCCATTGTAGTTTGCAAACGGAGTTGAATGTGGGGGTTCTTGAATGCAGGGGTCCTTGAGGCTTTCAGATCGAAGACCTGGGGTTCTCGCTGCTGTCTGCCCGCTTCTCTCATTTCTTTTTTCAAGTGGTTTTCACCAGTCTGCACACTCTTGGCCTGATGGCCACAGCGTTTGACACTGCTCACTAGCCCGCTTTTTGAAACACCCCTTGGCTTCCGAGGATACCCCGTTGACCTTGTTTTCCTCTTTTCTAGACCATTCTTTCTTCTATTTCTGACTTTTTCTTCATCTTGGCCTTTAAAATATATACATTTTTATTTTGCACTTCTGTTCTTTTCTTCCTGGGTACGTCCTCATCCACCCTTATCTTTAATTGTCGTTCGCGTATGGACACTTCCCGATCTTTGCCTCTAATCCAGCCCTTTTTCAAGCTGCAGATGAGCGTCCCGGTGTCATTAACATGGCCGGACTGTTTTCATTATTTCTTCTCCTCATTTACACCACCAGTTTCACTCCTGTTGCTGTCACCCGCATTCACCCGCTTTTCCGCATTCAAAGCTTTCAGTTTTAACTCCTTCTCACATCCAGCATCAGATCAGCTATGAAATCCTATTTGTTTAGCCTCAGAAGTCCCTCAGAATCTGACCCTTTTCTTATTTGTCCCTGGGCTCATCCACGGTACTAAAGTAGGGAGGAGGCAAGAGAACCAAAGTGCTAAGTCAGCCGCACTCAGGGACCGCCATGTGCTGGTCGGCCCTGCAGCCAGGCCGCCAGGACACCTGCAGGACGAAGGCAGACTTCCTTCCGCTGGGGCCCTGACAACCCACTTCCCCACACCGTGAAAGGAAAACAGGAAAACAGTCTTTAAGTCGGCCCTACACAAAATAAAATCATCCGTTCCCTCCAGCTAAAACCGTGGGAACCTGTGGATTAAGGGCTGGGAACTGCCAGCTGGTTTTCATGCTGCATGGTCTCACCTTTTCACACTGCTCAGCCTTGTCCTTTCTCATTGCGTGCCCTTTTCATCAAAGGAAAAATGGGTAAATGAAGTCTTTAAACTTTAATTCACAGCAACTAAGACTGATACATACACAAGATTCCCCCACATGGGGCTTTTTCTTGTTTTGGCTTTTTTTCTTGGCTTCTCTTGTCGTTGCTTTTTCCGCCTATGGAGTGTTACTCCTTCTCTAATAAACTTTCTTTGTGATTCTTACTCTGGTGTGCACTTGAATTCTCTCTCATGCTCAGCTAAGAATTCTCTCTCTCAGTGCAGGGCTCAAGGCTTCCCCGCCACCCTGGGGAAATTTGCCCTGTCCTGCATCTCTACTGAAGTTTGGACTGGATAATTCTATGTTGTGGGGACTGTCCTATGCATTGCAGGAGCCCTGGCCTCGACCCATTACATACCATAGCATTCCCCAGTTGTGACAACCAAATATGTCTTCAGACATTGCCGATGTCCCCTGTAGGGCACAATTGTTGAAGTTGAGAGCCGGTGCTTGAGATCGTTGTGACAGCTTCTCCACTGACACCTGTCTCTCCCCATTCAGTCTTTCTACTCAGCCTCTAGAACTTTCCTCCTAAAAGCCAGAGGTGCTATTCTCTGGCTTAAGGGCCTTTACTGGTTCCTGTTGCCTGCTGTGATGTTTTTCAAACTATAGCCTGTGCCACAATCACCTGGAGGAGAAAGGCAACAATACAGAGACAGAAAGTACGTCAGTGCTTTCCCCGGGCTGGGGAGGACCAGGAAGTGACTGGGAATGCGCTCACGTGATCTTTTGGGTGAGGGAAATGTTCTAAAATTGGGTCGTGGTGATGGTTTACAACTCTGTAAATTTACTTGAAATTACTGAATTGTATACTTAAAAAAAGTGAATTTCATGATCAATAAGTGACACCCCAATAATACTGTTAAAAATCACCTGGAGGTGATTGTGAAAACAAAACATTGGTCCCCATTCTGCAGGTTTGGATTCACTGAGCCCAGGGTGGTCCCAAGAATTTATGTTTCTATTAAGTTCTCAGGTGACGCTCCCATAGCTGGTTCCAGAATCAGACTTTGAGAACCTCCGGCCTGTGGGGGAGAATCCCAGCTTCTCAGCATAGTGTCCAAGACCTTTGCTGGTCTGGGTGGGGGTCAGTGCCCCTGGACCAGCTGCAGGCCCTGTTCTATAGGCTGTCAGTCTGACCTCCCAACCTCTTGAGATGCAGATTTAGAATTTTGATTTTCTTAAGAGTTACTTTTTTTGACCCCAGGCCCCAACCCAGTTGCAGACTTCGTCCCTGTCTGCCACAGCCAGGGCAGTTCCTTCTCCAGTCCTCACCCTGGCCAGGTGGGCCACTCTCTGATGGGAGTGGGGACGAGGAGGAGGTGGGGAGGGGACAGGGAGGCCCAGAGCCTGGCCAGGGCCTCTGTCCAGGCTGCCTCCAGTTACTGAGACCTTTCGGACCCTGTAGATCATGGATAAAACTTTTTTGAATAACACTAAGGTATTTTTTATTATTTATTTTTATTGTAAAATACACATAATATAAAATCGACCATTTTAACCCTTTTTAAGTGTACAGCACAGTGGCATTCAGTACGTTCACCTCATCATGCCACCACCACCACTCCCCGTTTCCAGAACTTTCCTCATCCCAGACTGAAGCTTTGTGCACACTCCCCTCCTCAGCCCCTGACCACCAGGATATTTTAAATTGAGAAAGTTTTAAAATTGCTTATTTAAGCATTACTGAGAACAAGTTGCTATTTTTAAAACCTGTTGCTATCTTGAAAATATTGTCTAATTTCATTCATGAAGAAGAATGCTTGGTTTGAAAATGATTTTAGTCCAAGAAAATACCTAAATATTTCCTTTTTAATTAATTTATTTTTTTTAATTTATAGGTGACATTAAGGGTCAACATACAGAAACTCTGCTGGCAGGGTCCCTCGCCAAAGCTCTTTGCTGTATCCTTGGTGTTTTAATCATTCAGAAGGTATCTTCTGGAAAAAACATATGTTAGCTTGCGATATTTTTTAGAACCTTGTGTACGTATTAAGAGAAGACATGAGTATTCTAAAGTGGTGACTTTGAAATGTTTGTACGACGCCCAATAAAAACTTGAAGTGGGAATGATGGAAAAACTAGTTTCTCCAGTATGTTCTTCTGCTCGCAATTCTTCAGGATACTTCCTCATTTTTTATTTAGACAAACTGAGGAGTCGTTTTTTCCCTTGAGTTGAGAGCAGTGTTTGATGATAAAAGCCATTTACTGAACACTGATGGTTCATAAATGAGTGGCTGTTTCCCCACAGGCCAGCGGGATGTTTCGACGTCATCTGCGTTTGTGATGTTCTCTCAGTCGTATGTAATTTAGTTTATTTGGGGCAGTAATGAGTGATTCTTCTGTTTCAGGCTTGGATGGTGATGGATCACCTCTTCAAGTTCATTTCTCATTTGATTGGCTTATTGTTACTCGTAGTCTCAGTATTCAAATCTAGGATGTGGTAGATACTCATAGAACAATCATGTCTGGATAATTTTAATTTTGGGGGCCAAGATCGTTTGGTTACAAAGCCCAATTGATTGCAGTTGGTGTTCGGAAACCCCCAGTCTCTCTTGTTTTGTGTGTTTATCATAGTAAATGGAGCATTTTTCTTTTTCAGCTAGATGGATGCTAGGTTTATTTAACTAAAATTTGAGGTTATTTTCTGTTTATGATGAATATTTATAAAATTAAATAATATTTTTAAATTCCTTAATGCTAAGAAAATAAGACATTCACAGGATGAACAAGGAGGTTAAAGGTAGGAGTCTGGATTTTTCTGTTAGATTAATCCTATTTTACTACTATAATTTGGTAGACTGTTTAAAATTGGTCATAAAATCTTATAATATGTTCGATAAGATTCAGTAAATTGTAATCATTTTTTAATCTCTTTATAGATAATCAAGAAATGAAGTCAAGGATATTGGTAAGATTCAAAAAAATTAATATTATATTTATATGCCAGTTACAGCCAATTAGAAAACATAGTGAGATGTAAGACCCATTTATAATAGAAGCAGTAAATATTAAATATCTAGAATTAATAGGTGTAAAACTGATTATGATGAAAAACTAAAATTCTGAGGGACTTAAAAGTTGAATAAACGGACAGCCTTATTTTATTCTTGGATGTCAATTTCTCCAAAATTAAACTGTAAATTCAGTGCAAACTCAACCTTAGTGAGAACTTTTTTTCTAGCAGAGCGGGGAGATTTAAGAAATTCAACAATTTATCTGGAAAAAGAAATCAATGAGGGTGGCCAGGAGCTTTCTGAAAGAGAATGATAAGTAGGAACTGACTCCGTTAAGCATTAAAACACATTATGAAGCTACAGTAAGTGTGGTCTGGTACAGTAGCAGGCAAACAGAAAACGGAAAAGACTGGAGTCGAGAAATAAAAGCAGGCACCCAGGGGAGTCTGGTAATCAAGGAAACACTTCAAAGTAGTGGGAAGAGGGGGAAAATAAAAAAATAAAACGTTAAAAAAAATGTGGTGGGAAGAAAATTGATTATTCCGTAAAAGTGCTGGGCCAGTCAGGCACTCGGGGAAAGCTAGATGCCTTTCTCACTGCTTACACCTAAATACATTCTACTGAAGATCAACTATTTCAATGTAAAAATTCAAGTCATGAAAACACTGGAAGAAAACATCTGTTTATAATCTTAGGTTGGTGAGTACCTTGACGTGAAACTTTAAAAACGTAATGTGAAACTTTAAAAGAAAGCTTAAGACCTCAAAATAAAATCAGTTAATCTCCTAAAACAAGGACAAAACGAAACTATTAGGAAAAACTATTTTCAGCATAACTACCTGACAGAGAATTAACGTAGCATTTCTAGAGTAAAAGAGAGCTCTTATAAATTAATTTTTAAAAGTCAGGGTTACTCTAAAGAAAGAGAAAACATGAGCAAATGCAAAAACAAATGCAGATGGTCAGTTAACATTTGAAAATACGTTTATTTTCAGTGTTTGCTTCGTGATGAGCAAAAATGAAGAACCTGGCAATTCCTAGGGTTGATGGAAAACATGGGGATCGGTTATTTTCTTGTATAAACTGGTGCAACTTTTCTGGGGGGCAGCTTGGTACTCTGTATTAAGATGAAATATGTATACACCTTAGCAATCTCACTGATTATTTTAGGAGCTAATCAGAGACTTGTGCAAAAGGTACATGAGTGTGTTCATCAGAACATCGTCTACAACTGAGGACTGGCAAGCACTTAAATGTCCTTAGATAATTGGGTAAATAGTGGAAATCTGTGAAGTCAGCACAAAGGATGGTACACATCCAAATTCATGGACGTAAGAAGACTTCCTCCCAGATACTGCCGACTGAGAAAGCAGGGCGCAGAACACTAGCTAGAGGATCATCCTGTTTGTGTGTGTGTGTGTGGGGGGGGGGTGAGTGTGTATACACGCCCACACAGGTGCTCTCTAGAAACTTGGCAAGGATTCTCTCTTGAGCGGTAGGATTTGGGGGACATTTTTCCAGTCACGTTTACACTTTCAGGTATTATTTGATGGTGATAACTAGGTAGACAAATTAGGAAACTAACATTGGTTGCAGCGTGCCGCGCATCGTGATGGCGTTTTGAGTGAGAATACCAGGATGCGCACACAGGTGTCAACGCGGATGTGTGTTTTAGGTGATCAAGGCCGCGGAGGACAGCGCGTTGCAGTATATGAACTTCATGAACGTCATCTTCGCAGCTCAGAAACAGGTGAATAGACAGCCTTCTTTTTAAAGAGTATTAGTTTTGTAATGAAGGAGTTAATTTCATTTTTTCGAATAACCTACTTAGAGAAACATTCTGACTAAATAGCCTTACTAATGGATTAGGAATCTGGAATCCATATTTGGTACTAGTTATTTCTCTATTTTGAGTCCTGAGCCTCTAAAGAATCTGACGAGTCCCCAGAAAAATATGACTCAAACATGGTTTTGAATATAGTTTTCATAGTATTCATGTGACCGCGTTTAGCCCGTTCTTGGACCCCAGGTTAAGAATTTCTACTTTTAAGGTTTGCTGCATACCTTGCCTTGATTTCTCTCTCTCTGCTTTAGGGAGGTCTTGTAAAGGTTTGATATTTTTACTTTGCAAATAACCGAAGTGTTCAGATGAATTATCATGAATACATCTTCTTCTCTGATATGTCAAAAAAAAGAGAAAATTTTCTTAAAACTTTAGTTTTAACTGAAGATGCTATAACCATGTATACTATTCTCCATCTTGGAGTGCAGCACAGTATAGTAGAAAGACCATGGGCCTTGTGGCGAGGCAGATGGGGGTGGTGACAGCACCGCCTCCCTCGGGCTCTGTGACCCAGCCCGGCCAAGGCCTGGGCGCTTCAGCTGCAAAACATTAATCAAATATCTACCTTGCAGAGCTATTATGCATATCAAATAAGCCATTTTAAGACTAGCATCGGACACACAGTAGGTTCTCAGAATAAGGTGGCTGCTGCTGTTGTCATCCCCGTAATACTTTTGGAATGCTCGTTGCAGAACATTCTGATCGATGCCTGCGTCTTAGGCTCTGATTCGGGACTCCTTCAGCAGGTACGTGTAAACGAGCGCGTGGCGGGGGCGTGAAGCGTGGTGGTTCTGTTCCCTGTCGTGAAATGCCGTCACCGGTCTTCATGCGTGCTAAGGGTTAGCCCGTACGGTGCTGCAGATCGGAGGAGTGACATCTGTCTCTCTGGTCCCTTCAGACTTTTTAATATTTTACATAATGACTTGATTGACTTTGTAAAAGTGATTCACAAGTTAAAACATTCAAGCAACACAGAAAAGTATTTTTAAAAGGGTTTAAAAAAATCCCTTCAAATCCTATCATCCAAAAATTATCTTTGTTAATATTAGGTGAACAGAATGACAGCTCTCTCTATATATAGGTATAGATGGAAGAACAAATCACTAAGCAGAGAATTTTATAAAAATAGGACCATGCTCCAAATCCGCGCTGTCCTACGTGGTAGCCGTGTGGCTGTTGAGCTCTTGAAATGGGTCTGGTCTGTGTGAGACATTCCGTAAGTGTAACGTACACACTGAATTTTAGAGACTTCATGTGAAAAACAGAACATGAAATATCTTATTAATGATTTTTGTGTTGATTACATGTCAAAATGATAATACTTGGATATATTAAGTTGAATGAAATGTTATTAAAATTGTATGTCCTTTTTATGCAGCTATAAATTGTATTTATTTTTAGAAAATTTTAAATTACATGTGTTGCTTGTGTTATATTTCTGTTGGACAGCAATGTTAGGTGTTGCATTTTAATCGAAGATATGAAACTGAACTTTTAACCAGAAAAGAAAAACATGTTAAGACTGAAGAAATTACTAAACTTTTGAGAAAGATTTTCTGACCACAAGAAATATTATTTCCTAAAAGGTCATTTAAAAGCACCAAACTTCAGAAAACCTTGAGTGAGGTTACTGCTGGGGATGAGAGATAAGGGAGGGAGAGACAGAAGGTACACCAGCCTCAGAGATTCGAGAACTGGCCCGTTTCTTAAGCTTGATGGTTGGTACCTGGTGTTCACTGGGAATGTGAACACTTTGAAAAACAGTCTGAAACTTCCTCAGAAAGTTAAACGGAATTACCGTGTAACTCAGCAACTTCATTCTTAGATGTCTATCCAAGAGAAATGACATGTCAACACAAAAAATTATGCATGAATATTCATAACTGTACTGTTTGTAATAGCCAAAAAGTAGAAACAGCTCACGTGTCCATCAACAGATGAATGGATAAACCAATTGGTCCATCCATAAAATAGAATATTATTTGATCATAAATAGAAATGAAGCACTGACACACGCTACTGCATAATGAACCTTGAAAACATGGAGCCGCGTGAAAGAAGGCAGACACAGATGGACATGTCTTGTGTGATCCCATTTCTGTGAAATGTCCAGAACAGGCAAATCCGTAGAGACAAAACGATTAATGGTTGCCAGGACTGGGGGCAGGAGGATGGAAAGTGACTGATTAATGGGTGTGGGGTTCCCTTTTGGGGTGATGAGAATGTTCTGATATTGTTCTTGACAGCTGTGCAAGTCTGAATATACTGAAAACCAGAGAATTGTACACTTATGAAGGGTGAATTTTATGGCATGTGAATTATATCTCAAGGCTGTTATTTAAAAATATGACGAAAATGAATAAGTATGGCAAGAATACACATCTGTCAGTATCACACAGGCAGGCGAAAGGGCCCATATTGTCCTACACTGTAGTCTCCAAAGGGCCGAAGGATGTGGGCCAAGGGGAGAAATGAGACATCGGCACATCTTGAAAGGTAGCCGGAAGTTGGTCCTCACTCGCTCTGGGAAAGCGTCCCCTTTACTTCGATGTTCATATCCTCCTCTTGGGGACCTGAAGAATTGCTGGTGAGAATGACATCCGGCTGGAAAAACTCAGTAAGCGCTGTTTGGCAGAGCCCTTTGCGTGTCTTGCAGGCTTGTGACATCACAGGGGGACTGTACTTGAAGGTGCCTCAGATGCCCTCCCTTCTGCAGTATTTACTGGTAAGGAAATGCCGGCAGTGAACTGACTACCTCCAGTCCAGTGAGACCCCCGTGTCCTGGGGAATGAATGGGAGCCCGACGGCCAGTGCTGCTCACTGGAAGAAGAGAATAAGTGGGTGACCGAGGGGTCTCGAAGTGGAGAAGGGTGGACTTCGGGCAATCTGGGGCCCTGTGAGTGTAAGCAGAATGTCGTATGACTTCAGAGCAGCGCTGGTCTGTGGAAGGGCTCAGTAATTGTTGAACGAAGGAAAATGCATTTCTCAGTAGACTTTTAAGGAAATCTTTATTTAGTATTCTCAGTGTCTGCTGGCTCATATCTGATACCTATGTCTTGACTTCTGGTTATTTTTGCCCAGTTTTTAAGTAACTTTTTCCTGCCTTTTTTTTTTTTTTTGCAGTGGGTTTTTCTTCCTGATCAGGATCAGAGGTCTCAGTTAATCCTCCCACCCCCGATACATGTTGACTACCGGGCTGCTTGCTTCTGTCACCGAAATCTTATTGAAATCGGCTATGTCTGTTCTGTGTGCTTGTCAAGTAAGTTCATGGGCAGAGTTTTGCTTTTTACCTATGTTGGGGTGGGGCAGAAAATCACTACGGGGTTTTAAACTATCCTTTTTTTCTTTTTTTAATTTACAGTATTCTGCAATTTCAGCCCTATTTGTACCACATGCGAGTAAGTACCTTTGAGGTGGTGTGGCTGGCTCATGCGTTAGCGACTAGAGCGTTAAAGAATATTCCCCACCCTGTGTCATTTCAGGACCGCCTTTAAGATTTCTCTGCCTCCCATACTGAAGGCCAAGAAAAAGAAACTGAAAGTGTCTGCATGACGATAAAATTTTTCCTCCAATTTTTAGAGCTATTTAGTCTTTGTTAGGGAGCCTCTGAAAAAAATACAGATATGTGTAAGATGATTTTTTAGTGAATTTTCTTACAGGATATATTTTTAAAAGTCATCATCATCCTACATGCGTGGGGGACTGGTTTATATGAGGGAGTCATTCTATACAGTGTATAAACGCTAAAATGTTTTCTGACTGATTTTTGTCCTTCTAGAAAAGAGAAAGAAAGCACAGATTTGTGATACTTTTTTTTTTTAATGGGATGATCGTTTGTCAAAGTCAGTGTGTCCCGACAGGCTCAGTAACCGATTATCCAAGTCTAGGTTCTTACTGTGACATGTAGGATGTGACATTTGAGTGCAAAAAGTAACGATTTACAGAGTAATGGCCTTAAGGTAGAACATCTTACTTGAATCAACCGTTAACTTTGGCAAAGGTCACACAAATAAAAGCTTTATTGCCTAAATTGAGATTAGGTTCAGATACTAGCCATTCTTTGTTTTTTCGTATGTGTACATAGTTGGACAAAAATATGCAAATAGTGATACCAGTTCGTCATTGAATCACTACAAAATCTGATTTGAAATGAGTAAGGAGAACGAGTGCAGTAGTCTAACAACTTTTTCTTCAAAAACTGTGTGAAGAGCTTATTTGTGAGATGTGATGTCTGGGTTCTGAGGGGGAACTTCTCAGGGGAAATGGGTTCTTTATGGTTAAGTGTTGCCTGCAGATGGAATTCTTTCCTTTTTAACTGAGGGGAAAAAAAAAAGCATTAATGTTGGAGAACTATGCTCCAGAAGCTTTGGACTTAATACTGAAAACTTCTATAAGTTCAAAAGAAAAAGTATTTGTAATTTCGACAATAAAAAACTTATATTTCTATGTAGCCTTGAAGTGATTAAAAGTCCTTTTAAATTCCAGCCTAGTGTAGGAAGAGTTTCCAGGAGTGGTGGCTGGTTTGGTATTGACAAATTGTGTATCCAGCCTTGCATGGAAAAAGATTTAAATTTTCTCTTTAGTCCATCTCAGAAGCCGAGTCTCATTTATGTAACTTGGTGTTTGGTGAGATTGTTTCAGGTAGATTTTGTATTCTGGAATTACAATTTCATTAACAAGTACACTTTGTGATCACTTTGCAAGTATTTGTCAGTCCTTGAGTGTGAGAATCTGTCTTTTAAAATAACATTTAGTATTTCATAGCCTAATTAAGTGTAATTAGGAAGTCACTATTTTAAGTCTAGGAAATAAAGCATATATCTAAAAGATGAATAATTTCAAGCAAGCCGATAAAGTTTTTGTAGTTTTTCGTTTGAAATGTTTTATCTACTGCCAGTTCTGTTTTATTTTTAACCGTCATGTCTGTGGTTTATTTTATATAAATTTTTATAATAAAATGATTTAAATTTTCATAGTTGCTTGAATTATTTTCTCTTTTTTTACTTTTGAAACTTCCTTGTGACTAACACACTAGAATCCCATAGTGCATTTCACTATTCGCTAAATAGCTCACTGCGACTAAAAGCAGGAAAGTAAAGCATACTTTTAATAAGTAGTTTTTCTGATTATAGCAGAAAATGATTACATGCTTTCTGCAGAAAAGAAGATGACAAAAGTAAGGGGACAAAATAGAAAATCCACTGTTATTGTTACCCCACCGCCCACTGTTATTGTCACCTCCCACCCAGAGTTGGGACGGCAGGCCATCCTTCTTCATATTTGGTGCATGTTTTTACCGTAGCAGGATGTCGCATCTGCAAGTGTTGATAGGATTCAGATCCGTTGTCTGGTAAGTGAAAGGATGGTTTTCAATTGGCCTAAGAAATAATGTTTTTATTTTGAGTCTGACAGGTGACATTTGTCAATACAGGTAACCATGGTACTAATGACGTCTATTTGAAGTGCATGACAACACAGTAAGAATGGAAAGGTCTAGAAAAGTAGAATTCAGTGAAATTAAGGATTTAGAGTACATTTAAAATACCCATGAACGGTAGTGTTTGCCTAAATTATGTTTTACTAAATGTTAAAGCATTTTGAGCCAAGGAGTAAAATAATTAAGCATGCCAGTTTTCCTCACTGTAAATGGTTACTCTCTTAAGAAATGGTTAGTAAATAACAAGTATTTACATCATTGACAACCTTCCTTTTTGTAAAGTTCTCCTAGGCTTTATTCCCAGACATCAAGAGATTTAAGCACTTTGCCATGTTTAGCGCTAAAGTTCCTGCTGCAGCAATTTTCAGTTTTTCAAGAGAGTATAAGAAAAAGATAATGCTCGGAATATTGATCAGATTTGCTGATCAATTAATATGTGGCTGGGAAAAATATAACAATATGGAGAGTCATAGGCAAACTTTTACTCGTTGCTCACTATTGGTCAGGCATAGCATGAACCTTGTACCTGTGGCTTGTCAGCTGATTGGTACCCACCCCTCTGATAGCTAATGAAACGTGTGAACCTTTATTGAGTGCTTACCATATGCCAGGCATTGGTCTAAACTCATGATAATGTTACCTCATTTAATTCTCACACAATCCTGTTCGGGAGGGACTGTTACCTCTTTTTTACAGAGGAGGAAACTCAAGCTTAGAGAAATTAAATTACTTGCCTAAGGTCTCTTAGGGTGGAAGGAAGGGGAAATCCCAAACCCAGGGCATTCCGACCTCAGACTCCTGCGCTCTTAGTTACCTAACCGTAATAATACTTGAGATGCATCCAGGCTGTTGACATAAGAAAAATGAAATTTTTTCCAGGCAGAATTCTGGTACTTTTGCATCAGTCCTAATGGTGGGCCAAACTTTTTTGTGTGTTCTTTGATAAGATCTGCTTTCGGAGTGCTGAGAGCTCTGTGTGGTAAAACAACAACAAAAAAGCGAAATAATAAACCTTCAAAAAACTGGGAGGACAAAGACAATTCAACAATACAATTATTAGCACTGCAGCCTCACCCCCTTTTTGTCCCTTCCTCCAAATTCCCATAAAAATCAAGTTTATTAAGGCGCTCATTTAGAAGCCGGTGCCTGTAGCCTCGCTGTTGCAGTGTGATGGAATTAACTCTGGGGTGGGGGTACTCCAGTTTTCAAACTGCACGCGGACTCCCACTTTTTCCTTCATCTATGTGTGTGAAACAGCTAAAAGGCGCAAGGCCTGTGGGCGGAGCCGGGATGCTGGGGGGCGGGCTCTATCTGCCGCTGGCCCAATCACGGCGCGCCGCGGCGACAGGCCGGCGGCCGATTGGTGGTTGCTATAGCTCCCGGCGTTCGCTTGCCAAGATGGCCGCGGCGGGGCCGCGGGGCTCTCTGTGTGGTTTCTGGGAGCTTCCCTGCTTCTGAGGCGGTCGCGGTTCTGTCGCACTGGCCTCGCCAGGCTCTGGGCATGGGCTTGCCGCCGCCGGCCTCTCTCCTTCTGGGGGTCCTCCTTCTGCAGGGCGTCCTGAGGCCGCTGTGGGGCGACCTGGGTGTGTAGCGCGGGGCAGGGGCCTGCAGGGCCGGGCTGAGGGGACGAGGCGTTAAGGGGCCAGACTTCGACTCTGGAATCACTGCCACAGGAAGCACCACACCGCTTAGGAGGGGACTCTGCCACTGTTAACTCCTCCCTGTCCCCTTCTTTCTCGCCTAGTTTTCGTCCCTCCTTTCATCCGCATGTCCAGCCCTGCGGTCAGCGCGTTCCTGGTCGGAGTCACGGAGAATGTGTCCCTGGCCCTACTGCAGGACGAGGCAGGTAAAGAGTCCCGCCCTTCTTGTGGGGAGGGTGGGGTTGGGCCGCCCAAGTAAACTGGCTAGGTGGCACCCACCTCCGTCCCCTGCCGCCGTCCACTGCAAAGTCGGTACTGGGGCTGCTGTGGACCAGAGGACCGATGGACAAGTTCGAGAAAAGAAAGCTGGGAATCTTAACGGCTAGTATCCATTGAGCTATCTATCCCCTGTGCTTTACACGCAACGCCTCGGTTTCCTAATAAGAACAGTAATATCTTTGAATCCCATTAGACAAATGAAGACACGGACGTTCAGAGAGGTTGTCACTTGTCCAAGGTCACACAGCTTGTAAAGGGCCCGGTCCTGTGCTTGGAAAGGGATTTCATCCCAGGGAGCGGGTTTCGAGAGTGCACCCCCATAGCTGCTGGGTAATCCCTCTTTGCATTCTCATCTCCTTTAGGATTATTGCCAGTTCCCGCTTGCAACGTGCTGAACAATGAGACAGGAGACTGGAGTTTGACTGTGACTCCCAGCGCTGTAAGGCCAGAGGTAAAATCTGTAGAGGCCCACCTTCAGTGGTCTCTTGACTGGACAGACAAGGTGTAGCCGTCTCAATGCTCAGAACTGCCATCAAACTATGGGCTATCAGGTCTAGCGGACACCCATCCAGCTGGGAGGGTCTTACCCTGGGGTTGAGGGTCCTTGGAGAAGTCACAAGGGGTCTGTGAATCCTCTGAAATTATGTGCAAAATTACATGTGTCTGTGCATTTTTCTGATGAGAGGATCGCCAGCTTTCATTAGATTATCAAATGGGTTTGTGACTCAAAAAAGCATCATAAACCACTGATCTCACCTGACTCCGAGTTTATGTGTAAGGACCCTCAAGCCTGGAGAGATTAAAGATCTTTTACTTAATAACTATTTTACTGAGTGCCTCTTATGTGCGAGGCATCAACTCCAGAGTTTATAGAGGATGAGAAAGACAGACTTTGCCTGAACCCCAGGAACTAGGGACTCTTCAGTAACTGTGTGTGAATTTAATCTTCTGTTGGTAGGATCACAAAGAAACTAAAAAGGTGCTAGACAAACTGAGTTTTCAGACCTCTAGCTTTCTTGAGTATCCAAAAGTTGCTTACTTTTATGTTAAACTGAAGATTAGGAATCAGGGCTCGCGTATTGAATATTATGGGTGGAATTAAACAGAATTATGTCATCGTTGTATAAAATTTTCCTTTTGTAAAATGAACTGAGGCTGATGTGTGATTTTCATATGTTTTCCATTATGTGTTCTAATAATTATAGATGCTGTTTTGAGTCACTTTAAAAAGTACAGCAATGTTTTCCTTTCAGAACGTGTTGGAAGTGACGGTGAGGTTGAATAGGGATCTGCAATGGTGTCCCTCCAGTGAGACGCATTCCTTCCCAGAGTCCCCATGTATTATCCAGACTCTTCTGGTTTCGGCATCTCACAATTCAACCTGTTTAGCACATCTACTCATTCAAGCGGAGATTTATGCCAATTCTTCTCTGGCCCATAATGCATCAGGCAAGTGGAGTCTTTGACTCTCAAAGCAGTCACGTCACACGTTATCTGTTTATCCGTGTATGCCATATAATTTGTATACCTTACTTCACTCTTGAGTTTGTTTTGCCTTCGGAACTTATTTTCCTTTTGTTTAACTTTCTTATTTTAAAAGTTTCCACTTTGTACTGTTTTACTTAAGATTTATTTTATCTTGTTCTATATATTTTTTTTTTTTGTAAGCCTCCTTAAATCCTTTTTTGGGAGAAGGTGAAGTTCGTTTCTATGTATTGATTCTCATGACTTCGTCTTAAAACAAAAAAAAACAAAAAGTTGAGAAAAAAAGGGAAGACTCGTAAATGAGTTTATAAAAAACAGCAGATTTTCAGTAAAGGCTTTTGACCACTGACTCCTTTTCCCAGAGGCAGCCTGCTAACTTTAGAAGCATATATTCCCTTCTTTAAAAAAATATACAGTAATAACACACAATACACTATTTTGTACCTTTTAAATATAGTATAACTTAATCAACAGCTAATAACTTAATAATTAATTAATAAAATAACTAAATATATGCAGAGATCGTCGCATATGAATACATCAGGGTTCACCTCATTCTTTTAATAGCCGCATAGTATTCCATTGTGTGGATGTACCACTGTCTAACTAGTCTCTTAGTGATGGAATTTAAGTCATTTTTCGCTTTCGATACTGTAACTGGTGCTTACAGCAAATATCACTCTGCACATACATCTTTGGTCATGAGAAAATGGTTTTGTATTATTCTCCCTTTCACATAATGGCATTATTCTAAGAACGAAAGCTATGCCGATGTTGAGGGGCACTTTGATGGGAGCCACCACCATGTTCCCTGTCCCTTGCAATAAACTCTAGCATCTCTTGCCTTTGCAGTCACTTGGGATGAAGGGAAAAGCATTTCTTTTTGGTAGCAAAGGTCTGTCACTTGAGACTGTCACTTCCCTTATCACAAGCCCTAACTGTGGTCCTCCTTGTGGTTTTGGAAGTTTAAGAGAATGAGATAAGTTAGGATAGTGCCATTCGATGGGCTACTCTGCCCTCAGCATCTCGGATGGGAAGATCGCTGATGTATCTTGCTAAGCGTGATAAGTAGATGCAGACGGGTGGGTATAGCATGGAAAAAGGATGTATATTTATATTTATGTAAAGAAATTCTGGAAGGCTATCTGAGAAACTAACCATGTGCTGCCAGATTAGGGGGCGATGGGGAAAGAGCTGAGAGGAAAGACTTTTACTCGGTACCGTTTTACATCTTTTGGATTTTTTTGAACCATGTATATCTATTACCTATTTTAAAGGTTTCAACATTTTTTTAGAAGAAGAAACTTTTTCTAATGCTTAAAATTCAAAACAAACCAAAATATAATATTCACTACATGCTTTAAAAAAAGTGCAGGAGGGTTTAATGGTAGCTATATCATTCAAAGCAGTGACTTTTTTTTTTCTCTTAAAAAATATGCTTGACCATATTTAGGTAATATTTCAGAATGTCTTTGCACAAATAGTCAAGTGTAAGAACATTAGCATCTTTGCATATTGGTAATTATGAGGCGTCCGCTCTGACCCCATGAAAATGTGAAAGGTTTTGCACCCAGTCAGACAGAGATCAGAACAAGAGGGACAGAAGGGCAGACAGGAGGTACGTGGTGTGCTTTGTAGCAAAGGAGCCATCACATGACATGATGTATAGACAGACACAGACATTTCTATACATCACATAGTAAAACCCTGTTCTAAAATGGCCGGCTTAGGTCATATGGGGTTGACTGTACTGAGCATCAGACCTGGGATGTGGTCTGTTACTCGGACCTTCTTCTCGTTCCCAATACCATTGACACACTAGGGTTCGACTATATTATAGCATAGAACATATAATTAGTTGTTACTTAGACGCTTCTGCTGCCATGTCATTAAAGTTAACGGTTAAATAGAGTTTAAACAAATAATCACTGCCTAGTTTTTCACCATGTACCATATCCTAGGACAAAAATGAAATCCAGCATACTGAAACTTTTATCTGATAAATTATTGCAGAGAAGCTAGAAATCATCTCCAGCTTCTGAATTAGGAGGCCAAAATGCAATGTAATGTATTCCTTTTCCAATCAATGTAAAAATTGTTAATTTCCCCCACACTCGAGCCAGAATCAGGCTGTGAAGGTTTGGATTTATGGGGCGGTAGGACTGGAGGTCGAGCATGTTGTACAATTACATATGATCTCATGGTCCGATGGGTTCCTCAAGTAAGCCATCTGAAGTGTTACCATGCTTTAGTGTTCGCTGCTGGAAGAGGTAATGGATTCGAAGGGTGAAGGCGTAATATCTGTCTGTGTTACGGAAGGGATCGTGCACTGTGCTGAGAAATAAGATCAGTGCATTGCATTCGCCCTAACTTGTAAATTTTAGCCACTTGATTATCTTTGAGGTCAACTGTGACTTCTCCAGTTTGTTATAACTAGCACATTTTCTGATATTCGGGTTTCTGGTGGAGTGGTAGATACAGGTCTGAGATGCATTTAGCTCATTTTGAGGGATCCCTTACTTGTTCAATATTTGGGAATGGTGATTCGTAAAACAGTGATTTATAAAACAGTGATCCAGCTTTCTTTTGAAGGTAAAAAATGTGGCAGTGCTTTGTCAGAGTGTTTCATAGCTGAACTTCTCTGTCGTTTGTACTTTTCAGAGAACGTGACTGTTATTCCCAACCAGGTGTATCAGCCTCTTGGTCCTTGTCCTTGTAATTTAACAGCCGGGGCCTGTGACATTCGCTGCTGCTGTGACCAGGTACGCTCTTTCTGGTTATTTGGTACAAAAATGATGGTACCTGGTAGCCTGCGAAGGGCACCAGAGATTCTCCATTAACAGATTTTTAATGGGTGGTCTTCCCAAACTGAGACTTATTTCATGTTGCAAATTGTTTTCAAAATGAGTATTTTCTTATTTAGTATTTTCAGTAGAGTTTATGGAAGGAAAAAAATGTATCTCTTTGGACAAAGTCATGATTGTGATGATTAGACAGAGAGGGTGATTTTACTGTCTTATTTAGAAGCCTTTAAGAAAACATGAAAAGGAAAAAGAAAACACAAAAAGGAAAGAAAATACATTTTTTCAGCAATTTTTTTTTTAGAAGAAATTATAGAGTTGTACCACCACCACGATGATCTAATTTTAAAACATTTCTATCACCCCCAAAAGAAACCCTGTGCCCATGGGCAGCCACTCCCGTTCCCCCTCCCCCAGGCTACTGTTACCCTCCGCCCTGTCTCTGCAGATTTGCCTCTTCTGCACGTTGCGTCCACATGGAGTCCCGCGCTCCATGGCCTTTTGTGTCTGGCTTCTCTCACCCAGTGTCACATTGTCAAGGGTCATCCGTCTTGCAGTGCATGTCAGTGCTTCGTTCCTTGTTGTGGCTGGACAATATTTCGTTGTATGGGTGGACCCCATATTACTTACCCCTTTACCAGTAGATGGACATTTGCGTTGTTTTCACCTTTTGGCCATTGTGAACTGTGCTGCTGAGAACATTGTGTACAGATTTTTGTACGGGATGTGTGTTTCCCTTTCTTTTGGATGTATTACTAGGGGTGGAATGTTCTGTCACACGGTGAGTGTTTTTAACCTTTTGAGGAACTGTTCCAAAGTGGCCGCACCATTTTACATTCTCATCAGCAATGATGAGGGTTGCGATGTTCCACATCCCCACCAACGGTCCTTATGATAATCTTTTTGAATACAGCCATCCTGGTGGGTGTGAAGTGGTCTTTCATTGTGATTTTGATTTGTATGTTTCTAGTGGCAAATGATGTCGAACATCTTTTCATGTGCTTATTGGCCATGTTTATATCTTCTTTGAAGAAGTGTCTATTTAGACCCTTTGCCCATTTTTTAATTGGGTTGTCTTTTTGTTGTTAAATTATAGGAGTTTATTGTAAATTCTGGATACTTATCAGATGTATGATTCGCAAAACCTTCTATTGTATAGGTTGTATACTTTCTTGTTGGTGTCCTTTGAAGCACACAAGTTTTTGAATTTGATGAAGTTCAGTTTATCATTTTTTTCTTTTGTTGCTTGTGCTTTTGGTGTCATATCTAAGAAACTGTTGCTTAATGCCGGGTCAAATACACATTTTTAATCCTTATTTTAGATTTAAGAGGAACGAGAGATGCACAAGAGGCTCCTTTACTGGGACCCGAGTCACTCCCACTTTTGGATGAATACAATTATGTCATGGTGGGCTTTACTAAATGGGAAAGGAAAGGTTAGGGTCTTCATTTATGTTGTCATTCTTATACTAACAATTGTACTTACACTAACAATTATATTTAATTAAAAAAGAAAACATTCTAAATCCGTTTAGATGCCAATAGCAATGTCAAAATGGCATTCTCTTCCCCTTTCTTCCAGACTGCGTTACTGTGCCCTGTTTCACTTCCTCTCGTGTTTGTAATGCACGGTGCGTATACACACGCAGCACCAGCCACCGGCACCGATCCGTATTCTGGATCAGTGACTTCACATAACTGCACCTTGCCACTTCATACACGCTCGATTTTTAATTTGAATTTCTCTTATTTAAAAAAATCAATCATTTTCTTTTCTGCCTTTAATAAACAAAGGATTCAGGCTATATCTAACTTTTTAATTCAATCATTTGTGAAACAAGGAAGAATATAGGTGAATCAGTGAATGCGTGAATAAGGTGACATCAGTCGTGGTGACATTAATCACATCCTGTTGGGCCTTAAGGGTTCCATGGGGGACATGGACTGTTGTCCTAACTCTCAGTGTCCTTTGGTTTCTCAGGGATGGGACTGGAATGCGGATGACAGTTAAGTCGGGACGTTTACTCCATTTCATTCCCCGTTGGGGGTCTATTCTGCATTATCTTTTCTTCTCTGTGTACTTTTTTGTGGGCACATCTTATGTCCCCAGTAGAGCTGTTCCCTTGAACGTTCGAAGTTCCTGACTGGGAGGCTCGTGGGGAATTGACTAAGGCAAGTCTGGCGCGATTTGCTTTCCGGTGGCACCGAGCCCTTTGGGCCGAGCAGGCGTGTGTGTTTGCTTCTTGCTTCTTGCTTCCTGCACGGTGCCCTGTGGCTTCAAAGCATTCGCCCGCTTGCCAGGGGAGCTGGCGGCGGTCAGCGGCAGCCTTGGTCATCTCCGCGCTCCTCCCCATGCTCTTTCCAGGAATGCTCCTCGGATTTAAGAGGGCTCTTCAGGGAGTCCTGCTTCACCGGCGTCTTCGGGGGAGACGTGAACCCTCCTTTCGACCAGCTCTGCTCCGTGCGGAAGGCGCGCCGAGTCCCGGCCTGGTTCCCGTTCCTGTGCGTGCAGTCTCCCCTCGCCAACTCGCCCTTCCTCGGCCACTTCTACCACGGCGCGCTGTGAGTGTGCCAGCCGCTGCCTGGGAGAGGGCAGCGCCTCCCCGCCCCCGACGGCGGGTCGCGTCTTCTCAGGGCCTCCCCGGACGCTCTGTGCTCACGCGCCCAAGTCTAGGTTCAAGTCCGGCTTTCGGGTGCTGAGCTGGTTTTGTGCTAAGTAACTGGAAGGAAATAAATGGATCGATACAGGGCAACAGGGCAAAGGGTGGTGGGCTCTTGGGGGCCCTGAGCTGTGTCTCACCTTTCTGTGTTGTTGAAACTTTACAATGTTATTGTTATTGAAGTAAAAATTTGTGTAACGTAAAATTAACCATTAACCACTTTAAAGTATACGATTCAGTGACGTTCAGTACAAGTATTATTTTTGTAATTAAAAAAGTAAAGAAAAAATTTAAACGAACAGTTGTTTTTAGCAGATAATAGCTAAAGTATTAGCGATAATCTTTCTTATTACAGTTCCTCGAGACAACACGCTTCCTTTGAAATGTATTTGCACACTGAGCCAAAAGACTTTTCAGACTTTGGTTACAAACAAGGAGATCCAGTTATGACTGTAAATAAGACATATTTTACTATTCCGCAGGTAATAATTTCTATTTTGATATGCTGGAGCCTTTTTTTATTTTCCCCATCCTACTGTTAACTCATATTGCTCTTAAAAATCTCACACGGAGTTACATTTTTTTTTTTCCTATGGACTTGCCAGGCACTCTCAACTATTTATGGTCCCTGGATTTTTTTAATAGTCACTCTGAAATTAATCACTGTTTGCTAAATCTAAGAGTGAACTTTTTGAATAAAACCAGAAGATATTCTATGAATTTCCATTGAAGTAACTATCATTCCTCACTTCTGTTAGTTTTAATAGCCGATTTCTAGTCAGCTATAAATATTTAATTTGATATAATATTCCAGAATTAAAAAAAATATTTTAAGGCTATAGTTTTACATGAACTCTTTCTTTTTTAAAGTTTAAAATTCTAAGGAAAAAAAATATTTGTTAGAACAAACATGGCAGTCTAAAAATCGTTTCACTTTACTATTCCTGTGAATTCATTTTTGTGGTTTTAACAAAAATCTGGTTGTCATGAGAGAGAGAAAATGAAGTTGAACATAATCATGTTTATTCAAAGTAAGTGGCGCTGGGCAGGGAATTTTCTTTGTTTTCATGAAATAATAATACTCACTGTGATTCTTTAACCTGTGGCTTCTAGACTCTGATTTACAAATTAACTCTATATTTTGCTGGTTGGCTAGTCAATGGACTAGCCGTTGCTGAGGCTCCCCCAGCGATAGAGCAGGCTGCAGAAAGCACCCGTCTATGGGACGCCAACCTGTGACGAGATCATCAATCTGTTGGGGTTTCCCTCACCCTCAGGTGTCCCTGGCTGGGCAGTGTATGCAGAGCGCCCCAGTGGCATTCCTTCAGAATTTCGATGTTCGGTGCATCACAGATTTGAAAGTCTACCAAGAACAAGATGGTATTACCAATTTGAGGATAAAGACTGGCATAATGGGAGGTATGTTACCTGGGCTTGAAGAAAGAACACAGACCCAGTCATTTAGGTAAGCTATGCTCTCATGGGGATACAGATCACTTCTGCAGGACCAACTGACAACCATGTTTTAACCACTGATTGACGAAGGTGTTCTCCTCGGAAGAAATTCGGTTGCTTTAGATGCATATTGCATATTAATTCCTTTTTATAAACTGAGATAAATTCACAGAACAAAATTAACCCTTTTAAAGTGTAGAGTTCATGGGCATTTTGTACACGCACAAGGTTGTGCAGCCGTTACCTCGTCTCCCCAAAAGGAGGCCCCGTCCCCGTTAAGCAGTCACTTCCTTTGTTCCCCTCGTCCTGAGCCCTGGCAGCCACTCATCTGCCTTCTGTCTCTGGGGGTTTGCACGTTCTGAACGTTTCACAGAAATAGGATCATATGAGTGTGGCCTTTTGCGTCCGACTTCTTTCACTCAGCATCACGTTCTGCGATTAATCCATTGTGTGACGAGACCGCATGTTGTTGTCCATTCATCCCTCGATGGATGGTTGTTCCCGGCTTTTGGCTGTTGTGACAGTGCTGCCGTGGTCACTTGCATACAGTGTCTGTGCGCATGTGTGTTTTCCTTTCTGTCGGATGTGTGCCTAACTGCTGAGTCACGTGCTACGTTGCCTCTTTGACAAAGCACTGAACTATTTCCTAAAGTGACCGCACAGTTTTGCGTCCCCGCCAGCAGTGCATGTGTGTGCTTTATGACTGGAGAGAGAGTTAGAGAGAGAGTCTCCAGGTCGTCCCCACTGGCTTATGGATCCTCCTCCCCAATTGTCATTAGATGCCAAGAGTGGTGGGGTTCAGCTTTGATGGTGTTTGGAGAGCGGGGGAGAGTTTTGCAGTCGGCACACGGAGCAGCGCAGTTACCACGTTTGCTCGGTCAGCTTTCATTTGTGAGTGCATGTGATCGTGTGAGGCCTTGTCGTCCTGTGGAAGTTACTCTGTGTCTCTTTTCAGGCATCATTACACCAAAAGTAACCTACGAGGAAGCCACTGACCTGGACAAATTCATCACCAGTGCAGGTATTTTAATGTTTATATCATTTCCATAGAAACATAGATGTCATTTCTTATAAGCAGTATATAGTTCTAGAGTAAAATACATTTCTATTAAAAATTGAGTTGGAGCACAACAGTTAGAAAGATACCCCATTAGCATTTTGTTTGTTCCTGTTCCGTCTTCCCGTGGCGGCGTAGTCTAGGTGACCTTGAGCCGCATCTTTCACAGTCCTGGGTCATGTGGGCTCCAGGACCGTTTCTAGTTCTCAAGGTCTGCGAACCTTTTATTCAATGTCTTTCAGAAAGTTAAGGAATTCTTTAAGACTTCTTTTTGCTTCTCTCTGTCTTTCTTTTTGATAATTAAACTTTGCAGGTATGATGCAGCCAAATAAGTCATGCAGTTTGGCTGATATTACCAGGACTTTTGTTTTGAATGAAGGACACTATCTGTGTTTCTCTTCAATGCATTATAATTCTCAAATTTCATTACTTGATCAGATATTAGTAGAGTGGCTACAGTATAGTATTGAAGTAGACAGCAGGCCTCCGTATCAACCCGTGAGCCGGGGGACTGGGGCTACAGAAATCAAACGGAGGGGACAGACATCATGCAGGATGTTGTGCTGGTTTAGTAGGGGCGGCTAACGCGGACTTGGTGGGCCGACGATGGACCTGAGCCCAAAACGAGTCTTTAATTTATGAAAATATTCTTTTATTTGCAGAAATACTTTTAACTGATGGATCAGCCCCCAGAAACGTGACTGTGGAAGAACATTATATTTTCAGATGGAATAATAATACAATCAGTGAAATAAATGTCAAAATTATTAGGGCAGAAATTAACGCCCACCAGGAAGGTAACCGTTGATGGCAGCCAGACTGCTTTCAGTTTAAGATACTTTTTTTCTTTCCTCAAGATCCTCATAATTATAACACATCAAACTAAGTCAGACTTGTTTCTTATTTGTATTTGTGACTTAATAAAAACAACATATTTTTTTTTTGCACATCAAAATTCGATTATAAGGTAAAGAAAATAACACTGAGGAATAATTTCTTTATTTCTAGGAATCATGACACAGAGATTTACGGTCAAATTTTTAAGCTATAACAGTGGTAATGAAAAGAAAACATCTGGAAATCCAGGTAAGCCAGCACCTGTCAGTCACTGATCGTACAGACATAGTTTAGTGCATCTGTCCTCCCCGTAACGGTGATTGTAAGTAACTCTCCAATTTTAGTTTGTGACTCAGACCTTTCCCTTTATTTCTCTTTTGTGACACTCTATTCTTTTTCTGATAACAACTTGATTTTTTTTTTTTTTTACATAAATCATCATAGATAATAACAAGTTGCTGTGAATGCAAACCATTCTTTGTCCTTAGCTCCTGGTCTTTTGAAAAAGAGATAATGTATTTAAAGTGTTGGTAAAACTAGCTTTTTTTTTTTTCAAGATAAAATAATTTATTTAATGAGTTGATGTTATATAAGGGGAAGGTATCTTCAATTTCATTGATTACAGAAGAAATAAATACATGGTAGGTGACAACAGAATTTTTGATTTTGCAAAAATATAGCTCTCAGTCCTTGAAAGTCATATAGTATTTAATAGCTTATTATTAAATTCAGTAGATCTACTGAAACACTTCATTTGCAAATGCAATTTGAGAAATATAAGTTGGTATCTGTATAGTACATATCATCATACATAGTCCAAATAGAAAGACCCAACATTGATTCTTAGCTCTGCTACTAACTAGCTGGTGATTGGCCATATAGTACATATCATCATACATACTCCAAATAGAAAGACCCAACATCGATTCTTAGCTCTTCTACTAACTAGCTGGTAATTTCTCAGGTGTCAGTGTGTTTTCACCTGTGAAACTGATGATGGGCTGGGTGACAGAAGTCACTTATTGATAAAGAATAAGCTGCAGAGGATGGGTTCCTAACCTGGGCCCCGGGGAGAGCCCTTGTGGGGACTGTGAGCTCCAGGCCCTGTCCTGCTTTTTGTATATATGTGCAAATATATTGCCACCCGCTGGAGCTTTTAAAGGTGAAATGTCATGGTCGTCATCATGGTGTCTACAACTTATTTTCAAATGGTCCTGCCCCTCCCCCCAAAATGTCTCTCTCTCTCTCTAGAGAAGTGTATATTATATAATATAGATAAGACAAATATGGCTAAATACTAACAGTTGTTGATTTTAGGTGGTGGCTCTATTGGTGTTCATGGTATTACTTTCAATTTTCCACACATGTGAACATTTTCATAATAAAAGTTGGAAACAATAAGTTGGATTACTAAGAGATGGATGAGGAGTAGGACCTGAACCAGACCTTGAGGTCGAATTGATTTACTAGAAAATGGTTGCATTGAAAGGTTACTTTGATTTGAGTTTTCAAGCTCCTGTGATGAACTCGATACCAGTCACTCAGCAAGTATTCATGAACTGGCCTGCTCAGTGTCTTGTTCTCCAGTGTGAGAGATCCAAGGTGGACTCTTACCTGCTTTTTACTTTTCGGATTCTATCTTTAAAATTTAAAAATCACAAACAAAACAAAAGGAATGAAGGAGGTGCCCTTCTCTCAAGGCTATTTTGAGAAAGCTCTGCCTGTGTATTTCTTTTCCCTGTGAATACTTCCTTTCTCTTATTTGATGAGCTAGTGCCCGCTCTGTTGGATTAACTTTGGGAGGAAAGATGCTAACTCTCATTCCTGGTGCTTGTCTAGGTTACCAAGTTGGCAGGCCTGTTCGGGCCTTAAACACCGACGGGGCGAGCAATGTTACGACTTTGCACCTCTGGCAGTCAGGTAACTGCTTCGGTAATGCGGCCAGCTCTTCGGTAAACTGGAATTGGAGATATTACTATATTTTGAATCTAATCGAGTGGTCAATTACTTTAAAGTTCATTTGGTTTATTTAGCTGAGTAGGGGGTGTTTTTCATCCTCTACAGCTTGCTTTCTTTTCTTTTCTTTTTTCTTTTGTAAAATATGTTACATGGTTTGCATCTGAAGTGCTGGTTATTAGTAAGAGAGATTTAAATATGGGGTTGGCTCTAGCGTCCCTTGTTTTTGTTGCTTGTAGCCCAAGATGATGCTAATTGGAGACTTGAGAATAGCTTTGCTCCAAACTATGGAGACTCTTTGCATCAGCGGTGGTCACCCACGTCTGCCAGAAGGCATTCAATTTCACGTTCAAAACAGACCTTTGATCCCTGGTTTTCTGGTGCAGAAAGGCGCCTTTGTTCAGTTGGAAAGGATTAGGGTACCGGTGACCTCAGTTCTGGAAAATGGAAACTTTATTTCTACTTATTGTTTTCTCTCAGTTTTTCAAAGAAAACTTTGACATTCATCTTTACTTTTATTTAGCAAAAATAGTAAGAGGATAATCTCTTTATTTTACAGTTGGAAAGGGTTTGTGTTCATCAGCAACTTTCAAACCCGTTTTATTTGGAGAAAATACGCTTTCTGGATGTCTTTTAGATGTTGCGATTAATGAAAACTGTTCTCAGCTCAGGTGAGTGTTTCGTTGATGACCTTAGTTGCATTTTGAGTGGTTTGCTTAAAGTTAATTCACTGAGTGAGTACTAAAGACAACGTGAATTTGAAAACTTGGAGTCTGAATAAAAGACTTACGTAAAAGCAATAGTGAATAAAGAATAAACGCAAACTTCCAATATAATTTAGAGTCGATGCAAATAGACTTCTCTCTTAGGACTAGACCCATTTCATCCATGTTTACTCACATGTCTCTGCTGAAGTGTGTTCAGGTCATTGGAACTCAGCACTGCCAGAACTGTGAAAAGGGCCAGAGCCAGGCGTAATTGGCATGAGTCACATTTAAAGAATAGTTAAGCCCTGTTACTGGGTGTATAAGGAAATTTCCATTCAATTGGGTGGCATTTGGGAAGTGTATTTGTGGATATGCATATACATTCTTTCTTTTTTTTTAATCGAGGTTGAATTCACATAACATAATCAATCATTTAAAAATGAACAGTTCAGTGGCGTTTAATAGTCACCACCTCTGTTTAGTTCCAGAGCAACTTCATCTCTGTGAAAGGAAACCCATACGCTTCACCATCACCCCCATTCCTCCCTTCCCGAACCTCTGGGAACAGCCAGTCTGTGTTCTGTCTCTGAGTATTTTGTATAAACGGAATTGTACAATACCTGTCCTTTGTGCCTAGCTTCCTTTGCTTAGAATAATGTTTCTGAGGTTCATCCGCATTGTAGTGTGTGTCAGTGCTTCACTCCTTTTTAAGTTTGAATAATACCCCATTGTATGGATGGACCGCTTTCCGTTTATCCATCACCTGTTGACGAACATTTGAGTTGCTTCCACCTCTTGGCGTTTGTGAATGGTGCTGCTGCAAGCATTCATGTACTAGTTTTTGTTTGCACATCTGAGCCATAAAATGAAGTGAAGATTAAGAATTGGAACTTAGTATCCCTTCTTTCCAGTAATGTCCAGTAAGTTCTTTTGGGCATGTACCCAGGAGTGGAATTGCTGAAACATATAGTAATTCAACGTTCAATTTTTTGAGGAACCAGCAAATTGTTTTCCATAGTGGCTGCATGATTTTATCTTCCTACCAACTATGTAAGAGAGTTCCAATTTCTTCACATCCTCACCAACCCTTGTTATTTTCCACCTTTTTGATAATAGCCATCCTGGTAGGTATGCAGTGGTATCCCATTATACGCATTTTTATACCCATTTCATCTGTAACACATCCTGAGTGACGTAGTTTATCGGGGAGGAGGGAAAATATGGGGGAGACACTGAGAAGGTAAGAAAACTGTAGGAATAAGTTACCTGCAGTGGCTCCTGATCACAAGATGTGAGGCCTGAGTCCCATCAGAGTCTGGCCCCGGGTAGTTGTGAGATTTATACCCTCCAGTGACATTACTGGAAAGAAGGGATACTAAGTTCCAATTCTTAATCTTCACTTCATTTTATGGCTCAAAATTCTAGCTAAATATTTAGGTTTCTTTTACTCTTGAATCACTCTGGCCCATGGATTTATGCTAATAACTTGATATGTGATCTACCAACCTCCCAAATTTTGTGACACTCAACAGAGCCTGTAAAACACATGATACCAACATAAGTTACTAACATTGCAAGTTCAGAGTGAAGGATTACTCTGCATATCCTCCCCTGCTGCTTAGGTCCGTCACGGGAAGGCCATCTAAGAGAAGTCAGACTCCCAGGCAGTTTTTCACACCGGCTCCTGTGGCAGTTTTTTATTTAGGCCCCCAGCGAGCATAACCTAGAGACTTTCTGAAAAGAGTTTTGAGCTGAGACCACGAGTCATGCGCTGAGACGCGTCTCCCTCTCTTTCAGGGAGACCGCTTTTGAACTACTTAATTCGTTAATACAAGCAACTCATGTTGCAATGAGAGGCAACTCCGACTACAACGATCTTAGTGATGGCTGGCTGGAAATAATACGTAAGTCCAAGCTGCCTGTGTGAAACGTGGGAGTTGGTTGCTGTGGCTGCGTAGTGCCCGCGGTGGCCGTACAGCCCTACCTGCCAGGGCGTCTTTCTTTGCTGTGGCTCAACTGACGTTTGTTTAGAGGTTAACGCTCCAGGCAGGAGGCTCTTCACATTCTTTTACCTCTTATCAGACATGACTTTTAAGAGCAAACACACGTGAAGTTCCAATTGTGCAGTGGTTTTACGAGCGAACAGTCTTTTTAAAGGAAGACTAAGTGCTCACTTCACGAGGCCCAGAGTTCGCGTTTGGAAACAGAGCCCACAGGCTGGGGCTTGTTAGCCCCTGGGCTTTGCCATCTAACCAGCTGGTGGGCTGCGAAACGACCGAGGGTGGACGGAAGGGGCCAGTAAAGCACCTGAGAAGCGAAAAGGAGGGGGATTTCAAGACAGAGAACCCATGTTGGTTAGGTAAGAAATCAGCAGATGACACTTTGTTGCCTTCGAGGTGGCAGCAGTCAGCTTCTGTTTCATACAGAAGTCAAATTCATGTGTCAGTCAAAATCACCCTCAATCCTGGTTAATGGACAGAAGAGAAGTGGTATTGAACACATGTGTCAAGGACGAGGAAATTGGATGTCGTAAAGGAACAGTATCACCCACTTTCAAAATCCCGAAAGGAACAAGGAAGTCCCACTCCCCCAGAGTTGCCTTAGAACTTGCCATCCACCTCCTGTAATTGACCTTGCTGTCTCTTCCCCGAATGCCACTTTTCAAGATGAATGAAAATTAGTTTCTCATTCAATTTAATTCTCTTCCTTTTGTATTACTGCTCTGGCAATACATTAGTAAATTGCTTTTTAACTATTCCATGCCAACTAAAGTTGTTAGTATGGATTTGAACTGTCTTATAGTTTCTGTTACAACAGTGACTGCGTGGAATAGCTCTCGAGGCAACTTACTGCGATGATATGGCATTTCCGTTAAACCCTGGGTGGATTTCAGCAAGGACCTTGAGAAAGGAATCAGAATTTATGCTTTTATTGGTGGGTCAAGGACTTTAAAGTTCCAATGACTGACTTAACGTGCCAGAAAACATTTCGAACATATGGGGTAATGTTACGAGGTGACAAATAATTAGGGTCAATTAGAGAGCAAAGCCTCATTAATGTGCTTCCTATCTAATACTATTTCTCTTTTATTTATTTATTTTTGGTATCACGACTTTGTAGAAAAATTGTTATTAAACTATTCTTTCCAAAGTGTACAACCTCACATTTCTGTAGGTGCAGATGCTCCTGATACAAGTGCAGACCTGTCTGTTAGCAGCGCAAATGGCATCTGCCTGGATGTTCCCGCCCAGCTGAGCATCCGCATCCTCACTGCGGATGCCGGTGCAGTGGAAGGGGTCACTCAGCAGGAGATACTTGGCGCAGAGACAAGGTCTGACCACATCTTGGAAAAGCGTAGTTTTGAGAGAGTCTGTAAAGTCGAGGGCACTCCAAGGAATAGGGAAATGCGAACTTAGAATCTGATGGTTTATTTACAAATTGTAGCTATTGGCAACATGATTATATATGTATAAATGGAAAATGTATCAACTATGATTATAATGGAAACTTGTTCTCACAGGTATTTCTAAAGCTGTGTGTAAGGGATTCTACAAGGTGTTTTAGGGGCTACAGAGATGAATAAGAGCTGCTTAGTGCTAAATATATTTCAGAATCCATGAGTGTAATTGACATAGTGACTGGGGAATATTGCCCCGTGGTTAGAGATTTTGACAGCAGACAGGTGGGTTCAAATCATGGCTCTCCCAGTTATGAGCTGTGTGACCTTGACAGTTACTTAACTTCTTCTGAGCTGCAGTTTCCTCAGCTATAAACGGTGACAAAACTTTTATGTATCAGGCCTCTATCAGTTGTTAAGTGATAGGGTCCTACTTTATAGTAACTTAAGCCAAAGGCAAGTTTTTCAGTTTAAGTTCTGAATTGTCCACATACAGGTAGTTCATGGTCCCATGTGGCCATTGGTCTCTTTCCTTCTTATGTTGGTTCCTCTTTCCTTTGAGTGGGCTTCCTTGGGGAGTTTCTCCTCAAGAGGTGGCAAAGATGAACTCCAGCAATTTCAGGCTTATATACAGTTAGAAAGTCTAATGGAAAGAGGGCAGCCCTTTCCCTAGCTTTCTCAAAAATGATCAGGGCAGACTTTTATTGGTTCAATCTCCTGCATGTGCTCCTTCCTGAACCAATCACTGTGGCCAGAGCAGTAGCCAGCTCTGATTGGCTGGGATGAGCAACTGGCCCGCCCCTGGATTCCATTTCTCTCTGCTGGTCCACTCAACTGAGAGCAAGGAGGGCTGGTTCCCCAAGGGAAAACTGGGGTGCAATTACCAGAGGAAAGATGAAAGGATGTTGGGTAGGCAGAAATAACAGATGTTAACCTCTAAACACACCTTGTAGCACTGTTTTGAGAATTATGTGGTGTGTACATACAAAGTACCTTAGCACTGTGCCTAGAACACAGAAAATTCTTTAAAATGGTCAGCTGTTATTGTTATTTTTATTATCATTTTGAGACAAGTGACAAAACAAATTAACTTTAAAAGCACCAGTGTGAAAACGAGAGGACCGGGTAGGAGGTGAAACAAGATTGGCAAAATGCTGTTAACTGTAGCTGGGTGACAAGTCCATGAGGGGGGTCCTTATAGCAATCTCCCTCTGTGTATATCTGAAGATTTTTAATGAAAGAGGGGGTAAAGCACTAGCAGAATTTGAGACTCCTTTAAGGGAATCGCGGTTTATGTCATTGCTATGTCAGGTGCTCGCCGCTCTTAGCAGATCAGTAACACATTCTGGGTACGTTGCCTGCACACTCTCTTCCTCCTAGGTTCTCCTCAGTGAGCTGGCGGTTCCAGTGTGGACTTACTTGTGATGATAAGGCCGACCTTTTCCCTCTCAGTGTGTCCGTCCAGTTTATTAAAATACCTGCACAGTTACCCCGTCCACTGACAAGGTAATCCAGTTGCTGACCTAGTTGACACTATTAAGAAGCAGGAAAAACATATATATAGATATATAGATATTTGAAAATAAGAAGTTTCTTTCTTTAATCAACTTTTTATGCTTCTCATCAAAAGCATGCTTTGTTGTAGCTCTTATAATCTTCCAAAATGTTTTATAGATTCCAGATCAACTTCACAGAGTACGACTGCAACAGAAACGAAGTGTGTTGGCCACAGCTTCTGTACCCGTTGACTCAGTATTATCACGGTATGGTGAAGCCGGTTTCTCCAGTGATTGTCATCATGTTATGGATAGAGGAGTTTTTAAAAGAAAAAATTTACTGATTTTGTTCCTGCTTGAAAATGATCATTATTACTGTTTTGGCTTATTTCTGCATAAATAATTACTGAGGAAGTCGAGAAATAAGACATGATTCATTGTCTTGCAGGGGAGCCTTACTCTCAGTGTGCTGCCAAGGGCTTACTGCTGCTGTCCTTCCCCATATTAGCTGTATTCCTCAGTCACCCCTGGGGCAGAGTTTGCAAAGCTTGGAGTTCAGCTACCGTCTGACTTCTTACAGACCATGGATTTTTACTTCTGTGATTTATTGTATTCCTGCATGCCTCTCTAAAATTTTAATAAAGCTTTATTTTTGTAGGAAATTTTTATCAAGTGCTCTGTGAATTTAATTCACATATGTAGCTATCCAGATGTGCAAAGCAATGCAGAATGGTCATTCTTACTGCCGGATGGAAATGAGCAGAATGCACGAGAGGGTCAGGTGTGCGAATAAATGTTATTAGAAGCTTTATCACAGATTACTAAATTCTTAGGAGGTTTGGTCCAGATTTGTGATTTGTACTTTCGAGTGTCAATCTTTTCAATTTTTTAATATATTTCTGTTGAATTGATGGATTAATTTCCCCTATTCCAAAGAAAGGATTAAAAATTCATAAAGCCTTAAAAATATATGTAGTACAAGAGCACAAAATGAAATGATGAGGGAAGATACGGGAGCTGGGGTGGGGGGGTGGGGAAATATTATGGAGAGGAAAGTTAAAGGAGTGAATGAAAGCCCATGAAAATTTATGCATAACGCCTTGCATTCACCCCTAATTTAGTCTTCAGTTTACAAAAAACCAAATGTGATTAGCTATAGGAATCATACAGTCCATAAAATAAGCTGGTTTTCAATGAAGGACAGTTTTTCCTAGTTGAGTGTTGAAATTTCTCTAGTGGCCGCTTACAAGGGGACAGTCAGCATGATGCAGCCCGGGAGTGGCCACAGAGCAAATCTGAGTTTTCTTCGTGGGCCAGATAAATTTAGTTATTGTTTCAGATGGACTTCGTACATTGTTGATACTTAATTTTGAAAAGTGATTTTAGAAGGAGTACAAATTGTCTTTTATCAAAGAAAAAGAAATACCCAGTGATTAATTAATTGCAGAGATTCGGAAAGTCTAAGTTAGTGTAACTAGCTCTGGAAAATTAATTAAAACTTTTAAATGACAGGTGATTTATTATGATCTTGTGGGCTTGTCAGAATGACTTTTGTACTTAAGAAAGGAAAACTTCTCTTTGGCAGTGGAATGGGACTTGGGGGGCATACTATATGGTTTTAAGTTTTCTAAGTTTATACATTCATATTTGCATTTGAGAAACAAACATTTATTGAGTGGCTACTAGCACTGAGCCCTGGGGTTAGCAAGGCAGCGTCCCTTGTCGGTGGAGGAAACTGACAATAAACACAGACAAGATAATTTCAAACAGGTTTCGGTATGAAGAAAATGAAACAGGGATGTGGTGGGTAG